CAGTAAAAAGTTATGATGTGAAATTCATATATATATATATATATATTTTTTTTTTTGGGTTCACTGATACAATGTTTGTATAGAGATAACTATCAATCAATTTTGTTATATGAAATGTAAAAGAAGATGTCAAATACATTGTTTTAATTGAATGAATGCTCAATGCTTATAAAATGATTGATTTGTAGTGAAAGGCTCCATCTATTTAAACAGAACAATTAACACCTAAATGCTAATTCCAGCATTGAATGAACAAAAAGAATTTTTTTAGTAAAATCGCTAAGGAGTTGAACATGCGCTTAACATATAAGAGAAAACAGAATATTTTCCGACTTTTATCTAATGCTAAGGAGAAGTCTGATGATAAGAAAGCGCTAGAGGTGTACTGCATCCCTTTGCATGACGAACGTTTCAATTGTCGGATAACATACATTGGATCTATATACAGATCCCTTGAGGCTAGAGTACGGGACCACAAATATGAGGCGTCCAAGCAGAAGTATGGTACAGCTCTAGCCCAGTATGCTACTGAACCTGGGGTTTCCCCATGTTGGGATAAAGCTACTCTTTTGCATAGGGCCTTCGACCGACACAACTTACGCTCGTTGGAGGCTCGAGATTTATATAGAAACCATGAAGGGAAACTGCATTAACTCCAATTATACTCTGATTCCACAATCGTGGAAGTATTATTTACATTGCCACAAAGCACAACAATAATTGTATGTGTAATTATTTTTCATCTTTCTGCTTTGTAAAAGANTTGGCATTTTAATACATCTCAATTACAGGGAGAATGCACGTGCAAAGCGGAGCTGTCTGGTTTTTGTAAACATGTGATAGCATGTTTATTACACGTTAACAGGTGAGAAGTATTTAAATATTTTAAGCAGTATACACCATGTTCCAATATAAAAACAAAGTTTTATTTATCGTAATAGTTAAAATTAGTGCCAATCTGAAGGCTGCCCTGCTGAGTCATTCAGCACTTATACAACATAAGCCAGTCACATTTGGTTGTGTAGCACACACTACATAATGTGTGTGTGTGTGTGTGTGTGTACGTCACATATATCCAGAACGGCTTCACATTCTACAAGACAACGTTTCCTTTCGCCGATAGTCTAGAATTTGACATAAATTCGATGATTCGTTCTTCATTTGGTCCTCGCAGTAGTCGCCACCCATAGAAACTGAATCGGCTCAGGCACTGAACAAACACGTGGTCGGCTCCTTACCTGTTTCGGCAGCCATCTTGGCTCAAAAACAGCGCCCTCTGTCGGATTTGGCGCTTGTCAATAATACATAAAGATTAAATTGAAACCAAAGTAATGATGTTTCAAATAGTTGGAAATTCAAACTGAATTGCAGGCAATGCTTGAAAAACTTATCAAAAAGGATTTCTACATAGCATTTGAATCATGGTAGAAGTGCTTAGATTATAACATCACAGGGACAGAAGCTAATTGCAAATAAGGTAAACTATTTTTTATCAGATCTAGTCCATAGCTTTCCAATTGTAATATGTATATACAGGGTGTCCCATAAGTTTCCATACATAGGAAAAATAAACTTTTTTATATGAAAACCCATTTTTATTTAGATATGCTCTACATGATTGCCATTGTGTTGAAAACACATTTCAATGAGTGTCCTCCACTGCTGAAGAACACATTCAAGCACAGCTGGAGTTGGAGTTTGCTTGTAATGGCATTGATGATACATTGCTTGAGATGATTTATGTTTTGTATCTTCTCCTGATATATCATGTACCTCAAATAAATGCCTCCAAAGATAAAAATCAACTGGGGCAAGGTCTGGGGATCTGGGAGGCCACTCCACAGGAGTGTTAAAAACCATATGTATGAAAACATGGGATATATAGCCAAATATATATATTTGGTTATATATCCCTATGTATAAATTATATAACTCAAAATATATATATATATATACATTCTGTTTATTTTACATTAATATATAAATAAAAATGCATATATAAATAAAAATGCATATCTAAATAAAAATGGGTTTTCATATAAAAAAGTTTATTTTTCCTATGTATGGAAACTTATGGGACACCCTGTATATACATATTACAATTGGAAAGCTATGGACTAGATCTGATAAAAAATGGTTTACCTTATTTGCAATTAGCTTCTGTCCCTGTGATGTTATAATCTAAGCACTTCTACCATGATTCAAATGCTATGTAGAAATCCTTTTTGATAAGTTTTTCAAGCATTGCCTGCAATTCAGTTTGAATTTCCAACTATTTGAAACATCATTACTTTGGTTTCAATTTAATCTTTATGTACAATACAGTAAAAAGTTATGATGTGAAATTCATATATATATATATATATATTTTTTTTTTTGGGTTCACTGATACAATGTTTGTATAGAGATAACTATCAATCAATCTTGTTATATGAAATGTAAAAGAAGATGTCAAATACATTGTTTTAATTGAATGAATGCTCAATGCTTATAAAATGATTGATTTGTAGTGAAAGGCTCCATCTATTTAAACAGAACAATTAACACCTAAATGCTAATTCCAGCATTGAATGAACAAAAAGAATTTTTTTAGTAAAATCGCTAAGGAGTTGAACATGCGCTTAACATATAAGAGAAAACAGAATATTTTCCGACTTTTATCTAATGCTAAGGAGAAGTCTGATGATAAGAAAGCGCTAGAGGTGTACTGCATCCCTTTGCATGACGAACGTTTCAATTGTCGGATAACATACATTGGATCTATATACAGATCCCTTGAGGCTAGAGTACGGGACCACAAATATGAGGCGTCCAAGCAGAAGTATGGTACAGCTCTAGCCCAGTATGCTACTGAACCTGGGGTTTCCCCATGTTGGGATAAAGCTACTCTTTTGCATAGGGCCTTCGACCGACACAACTTACGCTCGTTGGAGGCTCGAGATTTATATAGAAACCATGAAGGGAAACTGCATTAACTCCAATTATACTCTGATTCCACAATCGTGGAAGTATTATTTACATTGCCACAAAGCACAACAATAATTGTATGTGTAATTATTTTTCATCTTTCTGCTTTGTAAAAGAAAACAATTTCCACATTGTTTACATCGTGCTAATTTTTACAACCCTATAATAGTAATTTATGTATAGCTTTATTTAAAAATAATTATTTTTATGTTGTAAATGTAACGATTTTTAAATCGTACAGTGCATCATTTAAATATTTAAAAATTTGGAACACAGCTGTACTTGACGGTTAGTTTTCAAATGATAGAACTGTTTTTTTGCGTGTTTCATACATTCCTGAGGAGGGCCTCTAAAAATTGTTCTGTTTAATATATAGTTCCAGTTTACTTGTGCTAGTTTTTTGTCTGATCCATCTATTTAATTATAAAAAATAAAATTGATAATAAAACTTTATATATTAATTAAAGAATTTTACTGGAGGAAAGTATCATTTTGTAATATCCATAAGATCTTACTATAGTAGTAATAATTATTTTTTATGCCAAAAAATTCATCCATTATCATTCATGATGAGATTAAGCTGTAAAATCTGCTTTTGATGTTTCTGTACACTCAAATAGATCCATTATGGGTTTTTTTTTTTAAATTTGTTTTTGTGTGTGTTGGTATGATTAACTGCAGTTGTTATTAAATGATAACAAAAGAATAATTGAAGGGCTTGTAGGAGGAGGAGGTAATTGACTTTTCATGAAATTTGAGTTACAATGATGGACAAAACTTTAAAGACAAGCAAAAATTCCACTTAAACTACTAACTTAATTTAAATTATTGGTTCAATCATGCTTTAAAAAAGTAAATTAATTAATAGGTTTATACAATAATGAAAGAATAGTGTTGGAATAGTTTTTCAAAAAGTAGAAAACCAGGTAATTTATGTTGACAAAAATTTAAATACAACTGAAAAAATAACTGCAAATATAGATCTAAAATCTTGTGGACTCTACATTTTTGAATAACCTCAAAAATGCAGCCTGGCATATTCTTAATGTTTGAATATGGAAATTGATATAGCATGTCATGCTTTCTCCACTGCAACTTTTAAGTCTTTTACTGAATTGAGAGTATACCCCAGACATTCTCAATCGGGTTTATATCTGGAGATTGAGATGGATGATCCAACAGTTGGACTTGATTTTGCTGAACCCAATTTTTTGTGATGTAAAATGAATGGACAGGTGCATTGTCTTGCATTAAATAACTTTCTGCCTACTAATTTTTGTACATTTGGAAGTAATTTCAATCAACTCCTGATAGTTTTTTGAATCCATTCATCCATTTATAAATTAAATAGGTGACTTCTTGCAAAAAACAGCACCCACACCATAATGGAACCACCACCCATTGTCATTGAGATAAAATCTTGAAAATAATAGTTCAGGCCATCTGAACCATCCAGACTGAACACTTTTCATCTGAAAAATAACCTATTGCCATTCTGTATCCCAAGACATGTGATTTCATACATAAGTCAATATTGCAGTTTTATGTTTTTTAGTTAAGGGAGGTTTTCTTTTCAATTTCTTTCTTTTAAGTCATCCTGATGATTTTATCACTCTTTGAACAGTACAAGGATGAACTTTTAACTAATTGATTCACAATTTTTGATGATGATGTCACACTGTTACTTGCAATCCTCTAAATTTGCTTATCTTGCATTAAACTTAGGTCTTCTACCATTGTTTTCAGAGTTGTATTACACATTCAAGCACAGCTGGAGTTGGAGTTTGCTTGTAATGGCATTGATGATACATTGCTTGAGATGATTTATGTTTTGTATCTTCTCCTGATATATCATGTACCTCAAATAAATGCCTCCAAAGATAAAAATCAACTGGGGCAAGGTCTGGGGATCTGGGAGGCCACTCCACAGGAGTGTTAAAAACCATATGTATGAAAACATGGGATATATAGCCAAATATATATATTCANATAATATGTAAAAAATCTGAGCATGTGATGATTTAAAGCCATGTTAATTATAATATTAAAAATTTTATTTGCAAGTAAATGAAATAAATTAAAAAGTAACAACCCAGCATAAATATCATGTAAACTGATGTGAAAAACAAGATCATTTTTTTTTTTTTCCAACACGGGGTACATCTCCATTTCTGTCAATCATCACCACCACCTGATTCATTTACGCTTACACTCGTCATTCTATTGTCTCCACTTTTTACAGAATCATTCATTCAAAGAACATTTTGAACTGGCACTTTCAATTCAATTTTTGATCGTGCGAATAAAATCCTGTTTTTTATTCGTCAATGTTCCCTGTTCTGCGTCTTGCTCGCCGTTGTCGAGGTGACTGTCGGGGAGATTTCCTTGGTGATTTTCCTAAATGATTGGAAAAAAGTCTTAAGTTAGATATTATTGTTATAAAATTCAAAAATAACAGTTGTATATAATTTTACTTTATACAGTCTTAGAAGAATCAAATCAATTTTTAATACTAGTAGTATTCTACAGTAGTATACTAGATGATTATACTTTTTCCCTTCAAATCTTTGTCCTGAGCGATGAGTAGAGCCGAAAATATTCGCTTTTGGCAAATTTCTCAGCTATATTTGCCTGGAATGAGCATCTTTCAATTAGTACTAATTTAAAAATCCGGTCTCAATATCACTAAACTTTTTTGGTAAAAATCAGCGATTTTTATTCTAACTGGAGAATTTGGCGATAGGTGGTGAAATCATCAGTTTTCCATTTGCTTCAGGCAAAAATGTCTAGAAAACAGTCAATTGAGATTAAAATTGATTCTGTGATTAAGGAATTAGGTGGCAATATATTTTGCCGTACTAAAAAGCAATTCTCTGTGTTAAGTGCTCTACACACGTCAACTACAAATGTGATACAATTAAGAAACAACTTTTGGAACATCTCAACAGTGCAAAACACAAGAAACATAACATGTCAGTCACAAACACTGTTGTTTGAAAATGGAAGTGGTTTTGATAAAGGAATGGTTGAAGCATTCACCAGTGCATATATTCTGCTTGAAAAATGAAAAAATGAAAAACTGAGATTGTTTCTCGAGAAATATATGAAGAAGCTGATCAAAAGTGTTGCAGGTATTTTTTTATTGTAATTAGTTTTTTTAATGAAACATTTATTTTATTGAAACTGATGCTGCTGTTTGCGATTATGCTTATAATTTAGCTGAAATATGATTTTATTTGAAATCTCAATGTGTTATTTATTTTTTTTATCACTGAGGGCACATCAAAAAACTATCTTCAACTCAGTAGCAGAAAAAATTAAGGACGAAATTAATGGACATGATGTCTATTTCATTGTTGATGAAACTAGTGACAAAGTGCAACGTAAAGTGGTCAATGTGCTTGTAGGAAAATTAAATGGTGAGAAAGCAAAATCAATGTTAATTGATGTGACATTTCACTCAACAGTTTGACAACATTATAATACAAGAATGTATACTCAATGTGTCTAGAAAATTGTGGCCAAATGATTTAAAATATTCAAAACTGAAGTTAATAGTGACAGATCAAGCAAAATAGATGAAGGCAGTAAGTGAGATTAAGAAAAATTCATTGATTTTTTCAAATGTACATCACGTCACATGTTTCGCTCATGCCTTACATAACGCTGTATTTAGGATTCAGAATGAGTACAAATTAACAAATTCACTTATATCAGAAATGAAGAATTTTTTGTGATGTCAAGAAAAAACAAAATTATTTTAAGAATGGAGTTTGTAATCTTCCTCCAGAACTAATTGTCACTTGCTGGGGGTCTCGGTTAAACAGTGCAAAGTACTATGTTGATAATTTTGATACTGTTGAGTGTTTCATTTTGAACTATAAAGAAAAATCTCATTCAAACGCTAGAAATGTTTTGGTGAAACTATTGCAAGAAAAGAAAGTTAACCTCAAGAAAGAATTATTTGATCTCCGTAATCTCGTCAAGCTATCAAATGTTATAATATCACTGAAAGAGCAATGACTCAGTGTAACTAAACAAGCTGAACTAATTGAAAATGCAAAAGAAATTGTTTCTGGATATCCTATATTTTCTCAAAAATTGAAAAAAGTTTTGCCAAGCAATCCTGATCTTATCAAATTTATGTCTTTTGATATGAATTTAAGTGATGAAGTTAATAGCGAGTACGCTCCTTTAGTTGTAGTCAACACTGAATGTTCATTCTCATTATATTCATCAATATTGGGTGATCAACGTCATAGTTTAAGCAAGGATTATTTGAAATATTTAAGTGTAATTCATTTTAACTCGTTTTTGAAATAAATAACTGGCAATTTTTTTTGGCAAATTTAAGACAAAAAATTGGTGATTTTAGGCCCAAAAACTGGAAAAACTTTTGGCTCTAGTGATGAGGGATGGAGCCTGACAGTGCTCATGAAAAAAGGTTAACATCCTGGACAAATAATTATGTATTAATAGTTCTAATCTGACCCTTAAGCTTAAGCTAAGCCCAGATTAGAATTTAAATACATAATTGGATCATTTATCCGATCCTTTACAGGCAAAAAGAAGTCATCTAAGATACTTTTTTTACCCATTAAAAATAAACTGTTAAATTATCAAGAATACTGCATAACAGGATGTGCAGGTCTAAAAATATGCATTGTTAAACTAAATTAATCTCTCTACATTAAAAATTTGTGAAAGTCAGAAAATCAAATCAATTTCATCATTACCATGAAATTTTTCCATCAAAATAGCCTGTCTAAGACAGACCCTATCAAACTTGAATTGAAAAGTGTGACAAAGTTTGGTGATAATTTCTTAGCTTTCCATGCAATACTTGCAAAATGATATTTAGTGTTTTAACATTGCTTTTTTCCTGTCTTATGATGTTAATTTATAAATTTTCAAAATAATTAATAAACATGATTGAGATTTAATGACATTAACTTCATACGCTGACACACAAACTACAGTTAAATATGTTTAAATCTTATGATTCCTATACATGCTAGCTAAGAGTATACACTATTTTTCAAATGGAGATAGTAATTAGAACTCATACATCATACTGAAAGACTCCTAGTGGCTATGCTTTGGTAGAAATTTTTCAATGTGTAAAAAGAAAATTGATTTTGTTTTTTAGACTAAGTTTACTTTGTCTAAAAAACTTAATTCGGAAAATTAGTGTAATGCATTAGCTTATTAAATAAAAAAGCATGTTACTTCTCTGTTAATTATTACTAAGAAAAATAAAAAAAGAATTCTTAATTATCAAATGAATGCTGCAAATTTTACATCTAAGTTAAAAAAGTTATTCCAGAAAAGTTTCACTTTCTCATTCATGAGTGAATAAAGTGGTAGAGGTTTATAGACATATGTGTCTGTCTCCTAGAACTGCACCTTTTCTAAATGATTATACTCTGTATAATCATTTAGAAAAGATACATTAATATGTAGCTTAATCTTTTGTAAATTTTTTTATCCGATGGAGATTATTAATATTAATAAAATTGAAGACAAAGTCTGCCCAAAAGGGACCACCTTGTTTCTTGTGTTCCAGAGTATACACATTCATGGTGAACGACCTTCCAGTAGGCTTGTTCCAGTAGATAAAAGCAGAAACACCCCATAGGATGGATGAAAAGCAAGACTTCTGTATGTCACCAGTTCCTTTTTTTGAAATTTTATAATTTTAATTGGATATATTTGTGTTTTTTAAATTCTGGTGGCATGTAACCTATAAAGGAAGGTATGTCACCATGAATATGTATAGTCTGGAACACAAGAAATAAATGGTGGTCCCTTTTGAGCAGACTTTGTCTTCAATTTTATTAATGTAGATTAATCATTTCTCTTTACAGCTATATGCTCCAAAGTTCACAGAGAAGTTTGAACAAATAAGATGTATAGCAGGTGATTTGAGGGAAAATGTCAGAAAACCATCAACAGTAACATCTGCAGAAAAAGCTGTTAAAACTCTTGCATTATGAAATACATCTCAACCATATGAATGTTATCAGGACCAACCTAAGAGGTCATCAATCATCAAACCACTTGATGATGTGGACTAAGAGAGGTTTTCTGTGCCCTAAATTCTCCAGTTTTGCTTTGTCTATGAACAAGCTGCATTGTTGTAATCGAGTGCACAAATAGTTGAGAATAATCAACCCAGTGTTTATTAAAGGTAATGTAACTGCTAATTAATGAGTTGATAGATGTTTCTCTCCCATTTGCAAGGCCATATCACACAATTGATAACAGTTATTGCCCTGAATTATAGACAAATGGATGGACTGACCTCCCCATAGTGTTGAAAATTCACTAGCACAAACCATAGAGCATATTTCAAATTTGTAATATATGTTCTACTTAAAAGAAATTCAATTCTATGTAGCCTGAAGATGGCCATTAATCAAGGCTTAAAATATTTGTAATTAAGAGTTTTCTATGCTAGTGAATATATTATTGTTTAGATATAAGGAATGCTTTTTACAGATAACTTTCCATGGAGTTACATTAATTCAATGAATGAGGACATCAATTAAATTAAGAATTTCATGCTACAGTGAACTCATCAAGAAAGTGACCCAAAAATTTTTTACATTGGTTTATTAGTGACCCATCATAAACTATTTTGAACACTGTAATGTGAAATCCTTAATTTAATGTAAATAAAAAATTATTAATGCCTATAATAATTTACATTAGAAAAGTCTAGAAAATTAAGGAATAAATTCGTAGAGAAATAAATTAGTTTATGAAGCTTGGCATTCAAGTAGATTTAATTATTTATCTTTTAAACACCAGTTCCTCATATACAGCTTTTGTCACAGGCTACATCAAAAAACACCCAATAAAGTTCTAATAGTCATTTTTTGGAATATTCCATATAAGGTATGTGTGCATTATTCACAAAGTAATTGCATTTAGATTGCTTTCCATATTGCCAAGGACATGCTACACCATGAAGGCACTTTTGGTGATGATAATTGATAGTGACTTGTGCAACATTTTATAGAGAATAAAATTAGTTTACAATTTATACTTTAAACCAAACTGTTTATTGGCAAGTGATTGGCATTTAGGATTTTTGAAAGAAAATGGTTTCTTCATTTTTAAGAAGCCCCTTAAACAATGAGTACTGGTTGAAATTTATTACAAAACTTTATCTGGCATTTAAAAGCTTAATTAATACAATATTTACAGAATGAAGTATTCATTTAAAGCAATTTTCAGCTTAAGATAGTACAGTGGCACCTGGTTAACTCAAATTGATCAAGGAAAAAAATTTCGACTTTGAGTAAAAAGTTTTGATTTATGGTGATTCAACTTAAAAAAAATCAATATTTTTTGCATTGGTTTATTAGTGACTGATAATAAACTATCCATACAATATTTCCATGGGTCTTATTACAAAGAATCATTGCATCAATGTAAATCTCTCACTGTGGCCCAGAAACTCAAAAACACTTAACTAAATGGTAAAATAAGATGCCAAGAAATACATTTCAAAATGGTTGATCTGTTCACTCCTAAGTGTTTACTTAGTAAGATTTTTTAAAAATTGCAATATTTTGTGCACTAGAATTGATCTGTTTTTTTATTTATCATCACAAATATACCACTTTTTAAATTATCAAAAATCCATTTATTTTGTCAGCTAGACAGAGAAATCCATCAGCAATAAAAAAAAAATGCTTTATGATGTTTACTTTCAGTTGTACATGGTTTCCATGCTTTATAAGAAGATTCTGATTAGTTTATTTTATAGATGAACATTAATTATTTTATTCAAATTAAAATTCCAGAAAGTTTAAGAAAATGCTGTATCAAAATCCCATTCAAGTTAAACAGTTCAACAAATTTGAGTTAACCAGTTTGATTTAACATGTAAATGCCTATGCTAGGCAATCAGGGAAAAAGAAAATGACTTCGAGTAAATGTAACTTCAAGTTATCCCAGTTTGAGTTAATCAAGTTCCACTGTAGTATCAAATTAAATATTTCATCTAAACTTTTCTAACCTATTTTTAATACAGAGTGAGAGAAAAATATATTTACTGATTTCCTGTAAGGTTTCCTTTGGTAACCAATCATAATCCACATCATTTGCATTTTGAGTTCCCATCTCAATTTTTTGTTTCATTGTTGGCCTCTTCTTCTACAAAAAATAATATATTTTAAAATATATATCCAATTATGTAAATCTTTAACAACAATTTCAAAATTTACCCCAAATGATGCCAAAAATTGCTGACCACCAACTAGAACCAGTACTCCACAAGCAGCAAGTAAAACATAAAGAAAAAACCTATGTAAGGAAAAACATTTTAAAACATCTACAAACTTTTAATGTATTAAAAAGGAAAACAAACTTGATTAACTTAGAAAAAATTTAAACTACTTATTAAGAGGAAAAATCTAAGCTGTTCTAAGTGTTGAATGAACACTTACATTAAAATTAAATCTAATTATATGGTTTATCATTAATCATTGAGAAAGATTTTAGCAAAATAAATGTTGCCATTCATTGATATGGTAAAATATATTAATAATCCATCATGTTATTTATTTTTAATGTCTTTAAAATGTTTGCTATACTTGGTCTGACACATTGACACAATGTACTCAAGGTGTTCTATGATAGGAAACCTATTGTGTAACTAAATTGTGCCTACATTCAGTTACTGTGAAAAATAAAATGAGTACTTCCCACTCCCAAAATCATTCTATATCGAGTTTAGCTGTTACCTATTTAGTTGTTAGCTCAGCCTGAGGAGGTGAGCTCAGTGGTTTAGAGGTAGAACACTTGTTTCTTACCCATTTGACATGGTTTGAAATCCTACTGCAACAATCTGGACCTTTACCCTCAAAAGTGAGTAAATTTCTGCAGCACAACCCTCTTGTTTTCCAGCTTAGTGTTCCATTCCAAGACCCTGTTATGAAATATCTTGTGTTTGGCATGGTTTGATCTGGATTTTCTTTTTGCAATAAAATGTCAAATAAAATTATGAAATGCAACAATAATTGATGCTGTTGATGATGTTAATAAATGATTTGTGCTTTGTAACAACAATAGTAAAAGTAAAAGGGCACATTTGGTCAAATATTGCTCAGTTGGATCCAGTATCCAACATGGTTTGTAAGTGTGTGTGTTTGTGTTTATGGGGCCCGTAAGAGCTTTTCAGGGCTAAGCCTCTCAAAGCTCTCTGCAGCCCCAAGGGAAACTAGGGAATGGGGAAGAAAGCTGGAAAATAGGCACAACTGTAGACTGTCAGTAGAGTTTATTACTTGCAGTTGTCATATATAGGTAACCCCTATATAACACTGAACTTCTATAGCATGGATTCACTCTAACACAGTTCAAGAATTGGGAACATCCCCTGTATAACACGGTGGTTTTATAGCATGGGTTCACTCTAATACGGTTCAGGAATTGGGTAAAACCCTTGTACAACATGAAATGTAATAAAGAGTGCGTTCTTTTATACTTCCGCGTAACTCCGTACGAGCGTTCTAATTGTTTTCGTGGCTACTTTGAATGCTCTTTCAACAATAATCCATTTAATGGTTAAATTTTACAATTGGGACCCTTCTTTTGCCTCTAAAAGCTCATTTTAGAATTATAGATTCCTCCATCACGATACTATCGATAGTGCGGGCGCCGCCATCTTTCTTTCACCGTCATTCCTAAATGCCTACAAACAGCAGTGCACTCCCATTGCAGAGCGACTGCTATTAACGAACGCACCCAAAAACTGTTACAGGTTGATGATGCTCATGCTGAGATCATATAGGATGAATAATCTTCTGGTAAAGTATTTACTTAAATAATAAATAAGTATTTTACCTATGAAAAAAATGAATAATAAATCCAATTTAAATAAGGATTTAACAGCATGTTTTTTAATTTTTGGAACCTAACCTCCCTTTTCGCACTAGTTCTTTGTTTCGTATAACACGGCAATTTTTTGGAACATAACTCCTGTGTTATACGGGGGTTACCTGTATAATGTAAGAACTAGACTAATAGCATTTCTGTTTATTTTCATCTTCAGAATATTTGGAAAATTTAATGATTTGCAATAAAATTAAACAATAGTAATTTAATTTTTACAGACAGTTTTGTATGAAAATGTTTTTCATTTCAAAAAACCCTATAACATCTACATTTTAAGTTTGCCTTCTGCCTATAACTCTTTCTTACCAGTATGACAATTTGTAGTAAACTGCATTCACAGAATGAAACCATAATTATACATATCATTATTCTAAACCTAATTATTCAGGAGTTAGTTTTCCTTCACAGCATACTTTTGAGTTGCACAACATATGATAGTCCTGGTATATTTTAACATTGTTGTCATAAAATTAAGTAGTATTATTATAACACTTACGTGCAGTGGCGTTACAGGAGTGGAGTTCCGGATACGGAAATTTAACCGACTTTTGGAGAAAGGTATTATCAGCTAGCACTTTCAGTAATGTAAAACTACCATCATCAGGCGGTACATAGAATACGATAGTTTAAGCTTTCCGAATGATATTCAGACAGTTTTACAAAATTTCAATATTGAATATTTCGAACAATATTTCTGACGGTTCAGCTGATTATGGTTTTCAAATATTATTTAAAGGTTCTTACGTCATAGCGTGTAGAAAAAATGATAATAAATAAATCTCATAGTGAGAAATGTCCGTAAAAGAGCATAGTTCATGCATGTATGTGCACCAAGGCAAAATAAGCCTATGAGTAACAAAGGAGTGTTTTTATCTTGCGTTGAGTTGTTTGAAAGCTGTTATCCAAATTTGTGGGAGCTTGAAAGTTGGGGAGTTGCACAGTATGGTTGTAGAAATGTAGAGTGTCTTCCAAATAAATAGCTCTTTTTGTTCATTGCAGTATTTTAGTAATTTTATTTCGTTCCATAGAGGCTGGTAGTTGTGGTCAAGTACTTTCTTTGCTAATTCTGTAACTAGCCTGTTATTTTTGATGTCTTCTTGATGTTCATGGATATGTGAACTTAATTTTCTAGCAGTAGCTCCTACATAACTAGTCTCTTCACCAGATACTGTGTGCTTTAGCAGGATTTGGTAGATACCAGATTTTTCGTTCAACTGGTACTTATCCCTATCATTACATAGCAGTCTTCTTAGATTTGGTTGCAGTGTAATTGGTAGAATATAACCATTACTTCTAAAAAGATGTGTAATTTTTAAGGAGTAGGGCCTTTTTAAGGAGATAAGTAGGGTATCAGGGAATGTGCTATTTTTAAGTTTTCTTTATTGGAAGGAAAAGATTGTGGAAATAATCTGGCGTTACAGGAACTCTACTCCTGTAATGCCACTGCACGTAAGTGTTATTATAATAGTATACGTCGGCGTGAAGTGCAAACTTATCATGAAAATTAAGCAGATTCTCTTTTCTATTAAATTACTATTTCTTTTGTACTTGAAAATTTTCTAAACTATTCCCAGTAAAAAACAGTATATATTTAAATGCTCTACATCTAATTAATACATGTGGAAAGTTGAGGTGCAAATTTTTTTTAAAAAATTCTAAAAAAAGTGTTCCTAAAAATATATAAAAATAAAACCTGCCTTTCATTGTGCAAAGAACATGTAAAACTTACATAGAATTTCAAATACATAAAACATGTAAAACTTGAAAAAAGATAAATTTAAATCAGTCAGTCATCTTTAGAATTTGATCCATTAATTTCATAATTTAAAAAAACAGTTGTTCTATATTTTACACAATCAGCATGAGGAAAGTAAATCATTGAACTGCAAAAATGATCTTTCCACATCAAGTATGTTCCTGTTGGTTTTCACTAAAAACTGTAGGATTTGTGATTGGAAAGATTCAGGAATTATATTTTTAATATTTGGATTTTTACTCAGGAGTATTCCAGTTTCTCCAATTCATCCAACTGATTTTTAGTGTCTAAAAAATCTCCCTCTGCTGCTCAATAGACAGACCACTTTCTTCATGCTTAGAAACTGAACTGCACAGAAACTTGTATGAATGAACAGTGTAAAGTTCCTGTAACATTGCTTCTTGTTTCATTGTGGCTGCTGAAGACTGTTTGTTCAGTTTATCTATGAATGCTCCCATGGATGAGAAATTTTCAGCATAAATACAAGCCTCTTGAATTCATGTGCCTCTACTCATTATTACATGTTACATGCCCTAACTGTTTCATATATCCTGCTAAGGCTGGGAAAAGGAAGTGACATGTCTCAGATTCAGATACATTAACTTTATATTTGAGCATGTACTCAGCATGTGTGGTGCCTGATTTGCCTACAATTTATACTGGTCTGTACAAGTAACCAACTTTATACAAAATGACAAAGTTCCATAATTTGACATACAATCATTGAAGTTAACAGTTTGCATAACAGTTGTGGAATTTGTCTTTTCTAATCTGTAAACTCTTAACAGCATGGATTATACTGACTACCCTCTTAATTAATGGACTGATGAGAATGACCTTTTAGCATATCTGATATTTCATTCAAAATAAAAAAAAAGGGTTGTTTCCTATTTCCTGTATTTTTTTTTAATTTGCTTCATATGCAGGTTGCACATAGCTTTTTCCTTAGCATGCTTTGGTCAGGGAATAAGTGTTTGTTATACTTTTGTAGAAAATTTTTGAATGCTGGATGATTTACCCTATTAAGAGTAATCCTGATTATTAAAGATGTAGCCAGTACACATGAAAATTCATTCTTTTTTGATTGCATTGAAGAATCTCACTTCAAGGTTACACAGCACATTATATATGTTGCTTAATCAATGAAGAGAGATTATTCTCATCCAAGTTCATGATAACACCATATAGTTCATCTCAAAATACTATTGTCATTAATACTATACAAAATACTATACTATTGTCATGTAATTCTTTAAATTTTAAAAGTATTTACTAATTCAGTTTAGATATTGGCATATCTAGCATTTTTTTAAACCAGTAAACTGTCATGTTATCACAACATCCCTTCCTTGCCTTCAAGAACAATAGAGTCTTTGTTATTTTCACAAAGGGAGGTATTTAAATATGAAAAAAATTAGAAAAACAAAATACTCAATTAAAGTGTAAAAAGAGGAAAACTATCAAAAAAGTGCTCAATAGTAAATAAAATGGAAAAGGAAATACTGATACCCCTCCAAACAATTGAAAACTTAATAAAGAACCATATTACGATACTTAGAAATAGCACCCTGCATAAATAACAAAAAGGAAAGGAACTCATCTTCCCAACTTTATTAATTAATAAAAATTATTACGATGAAAACTACAATATAATAAAATATAATTTAAAATGTGATTCAAACTTACGTTTCTCCATCAAGTCCTTCATCAATTTCTACAACATTAACAGTATCATTAAATACTGCATTCAAAAATCGTTTGCCATCCTAAAAATATTAATATTTATGAGTTAAATATCTTAAAAAGTAGAAATTAATAATAGTAGAGTTTCTTTTAAGAAAAGGTTACCGAATCTGCATATAAAAGATGAACTGTTAAACCAAACGGACGAGAACTGAATGTTTCACTGACATAAAACGTATAAAAAAAGGTTGCTTGTTGTTTAGGTTTTACAAGACGATTATAAGCAATAGTACTGAACTGAAAATAAAAGTGTATTTTTAAGAATATATCTAATAAATTTTATAATTTAATTCTAATAATTTAACAAAAAAGATAAGTAGGGTATCAGGGAATGTGCTATTTTTAAGTTTTCTTTATTGGAAGGAAAAGATTGTGGAAATAATCTGGCGTTACAGGAACTCTACTCCTGTAATGCCACTGCACGTAAGTGTTATTATAATAGTATACGTCGGCGTGAAGTGCAAACTTATCATGAAAATTAAGCAGATTCTCTTTTCTATTAAATTACTATTTCTTTTGTACTTGAAAATTTTCTAAACTATTCCCAGNAAAAAAAAAAAAAAACAAATATTAAAAACATAAGCAGCAGTGTCAATGTTAACATCTTTGTATATTCTTTAATAGACAAAGTTTTCACCGAAAAAATTTTTCCCTGCAGGGGAGAGAGATTTTTTATATTTTCCTTATCTGCTTCTATGAAGATCAAAGCTACTCATAAATTTCTACGACTATAAATGTTCAACATTTTAATTTTACTGTATTAAAAAAAAAATTGAAAAGAACGATGATAAATTATTCATTGGAAAATTTTTGTTAATACATATACATGTAAAAAAAGATTCTAATTACTAGGAGACTAGGTCATTTATGTATTAAATGTCCTCTAAAATTTTATTTTTATTAAAAAAAAAAACTCAATTTCTATGAACAGGGATCAGAAAAATATCCCATATTTCATATAGAACTTTGTATTAAAATACTTATTTGAAGATATATTATGTAAGATATAATTTTAATTGATTTACATCAGTTGTGAAAGTGCTATCTCAATCAAATTGATAATTAATTTAAATTTAAATTTAACAAATATTACAAGTTTGGTTAATTAACTTATAGATAACTGAACCAAGTTGTTAGTATAATAATACAGTAGAACCTCGATTATCCGGACTAATTGGGGATGAAGGTAGTCCGGATAAGGAAAAATCCGGATAATCGAAACAAATACTTTAATTTGTCTTTTAATGATAATACAACACGTTTTCTTTTCGATGACATATCGGTAACATTAAAAGTAAATACTGTATTTAAATCGTGATCAAATTTTCAAGAAACAAACGTTCGTATCGAATTTGGACTACTACTGATCAACGCTAACAAACTACCTATTGTTTAAAAGGCCCTCTGGTGGCGCAATAAGACGGATTTTATAAAATAAAAAGCAGTTTAAACTACATTTTTATGAATAAAAATTTGACAAACTATTTATCGTTTTATGACGAGTAAAATTTTTTCGTCGCGTTCACGGCTTTTAAGTAATGCATTAACCTTCGAAGCGCGAGGCCCTTCGGACCGCGAGGCATAGGCGGTGGCCCACGTCGTCCATGCCTTACGCCGCCCTTGGTCATAGAAACGATGTGATTTGAATATAAATTATTTATAAATACGTATGTCAAGTTTTTTATTACTACGTAAAATATATTTAAGAGTTTACGGCCACTGTGCCGGGTTAGACGTTGTAGAAACAAAAAAAGTTATGCACTCCATCACGTACATAAACAGTATCGTAATTCGCCAAGTACAAATCAGCAAATTCGTAAAATGTTTGTTTATTTTGAACAATCCGGATAATCGAAAATCCGGATAACAGAGGTCCGGATAATGGAGGTTCTACTGTAATAGCATTTAATAAGTAAAAACCTGTTATATTCCAAAAGATATATTCTGAATATCTTCACAACACTTGATTAGTTAATTTCTGGATGTCATGAATGCAACAAACGATCATAATTAATCTTTTTAAATGCTGTTTAAAGGGATATTTAATAGTCTAAATGCAACCAAATCTGACAAATGTAACTTTCATCCAATAAAAGTATTTTTTAAATAATAAAGTGAAAGCTCATTGTCAAAGTTGCCTGTATTAAAGTAATCGTTCAAATAAATTAATTAATATCTGTGAATCAAAAAAGAACACTTCTGCCATCCATAGTTATGAACTTCTCATAATCTACAAACTTATTACATCATCATTAATACAGGATCTCAAAGTCATACAACTCACAGTATAACAGATTAGTCAGTTAATGCCTGTTCTCTCTTCCAGGTAACAATGGTATTATTGATATCCAAAGAGATGTGGCCCTCCTAATGTTTTTATGGGGTTACTTGAAGGGATGTGAATACAATAATCACCCTTACTCACTCACCTAACATTTACAAAAGACTAACATTCAGCCCATTGTAAACAACAAATCAATAAAGACCTTGCAAAAACTTCTCAGAAAAGAATTAAATGCATTAGGGTTGTTATGAAGACCAGGATGGTCATTTTCAGCATTTAATGTGTAATGTATCCATTGGCTGTGAAACTTTGAAGATCCTGTAGTTTGGACTACATGATTCACTTGTGGCTTTTCAATTTACATTATGCAAAACTAATTAAATTATTAAAGATGGTAAAGAAAAACAGCCAACCATTAGTAAAACAATCTAATATTCTGTAAATTGACTTACATCAATAGATATTTCAGTCTTTGATGATATATGATTGATAATATTTATTCAAAAACAGCTAACAGACTTTATTCTAAATTTGGAATACTAGTATTTTCAAAACTCATTCTCAAAATTTCAATGTCAATTTCATGTTATATAATAAGTTAATACCAGATTATTCAAAAAGATAGCTTAAAAGCTATAAGATCAAATTGCTATATTTACAATCTTCAGAATTTGTGAACATTAGTTGTACCAGTAAAATGTTTGCTTCTCAAATTGTTTTTAGTTATAAAAACAATAGGAAAAATAAAGAAACAAATAAAATTTATTTATATAAAACTTATATTACTATTTTAATAAATTGAAAACAGATTTTGCCTTAGTGTATTCTGCATATATAGACAGATTAGATTCTGTTCTGATTAACTCTAACAAAGACTATAATATTAGTATCTCTCTGTGTCTCTTCTTCATATGTCCTTCTCAGAAAATATGCAAATAAACATGTAAACACCTTCATGGCTGATTTGCATGCAGAAATACACAAGTAAATGACATTTAATCATAGTTTTTCATTTTTTTCTTCTTCACTTAAAGGCTAATTTTTTCCAAAAAAATTACAACAGTCCTGATCAAAATTTACTTTATAATAGTCTTTCCATTAATAAAAATTTAAAATAATTGGAAATAAATTAAAGAATGTCAACTCGAAAAGTTATTTTCAGAACTGGTTTTATTCTGGATGGAGGAAATAAATTCAATCGTCGGAATGGCAGTGAAGGACACCACTAAAAGAAGAGCAAAATTGGGTACATTTTCACTTCTAATTATTATCTATATATATATATATATATATATAAAAATGGACATGTATGTCCTTATATTTCACTTTTTCGCCAAAACTACACATCGCACGTGAATGGTGTTTGTATGTGGTGGTAGCCCCAAGTCTCCATTCGTGCATAGGGGTGGTTGCGTCTCGATAGCTATAAGGGTGCGGGAGATATGAGGCTGAAAGTGGTTGAAAGTGGCTTTCTATTTCGAATGTTTTGTTCGAATTTGTTCGAATTAAATTCGAACATAAAATTCGAATATTGGTTCGATTATAGAACGATTGTAAACGTTCCAGAAACGTTGAAAATAGTTTGTTTGACTAAATGTAAAAATTCTCTAATTAGTCTGGAAACGGGGGACCTAATTCTTGCATTCTGTGAAAACGGGTAAGATTAGCTATAATGTAATTATCTTAATCTTCACTATCGTTACTTTTTGTCCAGCGAAGCAGGTCCTTGCAGCTAGATTCTAGATTACTTAGAAAAACAGTCTTTTATATATATAAAAAAAACTATATTACATACAAATAAAAACCCAGCAAAGCGGGTCCTTGCAGCTAGTTTTAAATAAAATTAAATAGTAAAACAGATGCAATGGGGCTCATCTACATCAAATAAACTTTAAAATGATGTATAAAATGTATATGATGATGTATAAAATGTAGATATAATTCATATGCAAGTATCTTAATAAACTGGAAATAGATTTTAGATTAGAATATTCTATATATACAGATGATCAGGCCCAATCATCATATCCAGGGTTTCTACTCAAATTTTTCTTAAATTCCTTGACTTTCCCTGACCAACTTTGTACAAATTCCCTGACTCTCAGGTCAAGTACAGTATGGCATATCAACAAAATAAAACAGCATTTAACTTACTATGCACATACACTATTGCTTCTCCAACTTTTTAATTATTTATTTTTTCTTAATTAACAGTTATATATTTTTTATGATTGCTAAATTATTAAAACTAAAAATAAAATGTTTTATTTAAATTAAAATAGTTTATTCTGTTATTAATCCACAACCATAAATCTACATGACTTTGAAAAAAAAAAATTTATTTACAATTCATTAAAAAATCCTGTATAATACATGTACAAAAGTACATATTTATTAAATTTATCCCTTAATAAATTTTCTGAACTTTATAAAATATTAATAAACAAGAAAAAATTCAAAAATTATTTCGTTATGCAATCAAAATTATTAAAATGAAAAATGACAAATACAGTGAGTCCCAAAAACTCGGCCTAATGTGGACCAAAGGGTGGCCGGGTTTGTGAAAATGCCAGGTTATTGGGAATGGGGTTAAAAAAGAATAAGTAAGAGTGTGGAGTCCTCAGAAAATACTGTACTGTACTTGTATGTATTGTTTGCTTGAGAATACAACAGAGAATAAACTGCCCAAATAACCTTAAACAAAGGAAAAGTACATACATACTTTATGAAGGCATAGAGCCTTTACTACATGAAAATGAAAATTAATGAATACACAGTGTACAGTAATTTACCTGATAAGACAGACCTCAGAAAAATACTTT